AAATGTAAGGCCAGCTGTTTAGGAAATGCAACTAACAACATTTGCGATATATTTAAAGATCGTGTATAGGGTTTGAATAAAATAGTGCAATATACCGGGAAAAGAGCAAATTGCTGAAGACGACCTACTCTGGTGAATACCTTTAACTATTACAATGACCATTGGCCACTACAAAGGAAAAAATCTTGTTTCTCGGGATTTTGGGTGATCCGGGGTTATTATCAATGACTTGTTTTGAACATTTCATTTATACACAATAGTAGATAAGAAGATACATTATGCTTCTTAGTAAGACAGGCGGGTTTGTATTAACTTTAGAGACGCTCATGATTTCTCTCAAGTGGTGAGTAAGAGAAATTCACTCTAAAGCGAATATATTTGTCTCATGGGTTTGCTGTTTCGTTCTTTCTTTATCTATATTTATCTCTCTCTCTCTCTCTCTATCTATCTATCTATCTCTCTCTCTCTCTCTTTCTCTCTCTCTCTCTCTCTCTCTCTCTCTTTCTTTCTTTCTTTCTTTCTCTTTCTCTCCCTCTTTTTCAGCCCGCGTAGACAGCCCGAGTATTCACGGAAACGATTTTCGTGGAGTAAAATTTGTTGATTACTTAGTTGAACAGCTGTGTCTGAAAATCTTTTTTCATGGATAATTATAAAATGGTACAAATCTCTTTGTCAATATCTTTATATTACTCGCATATTTTTTCAGGTGTCAAGTGCGGTTTTTATTGTTTTTTTTTTTTTTTCTATATTTCCATTTGTGCGAGAATCCAGCATTTTAAATCAAGTAAATTATAGCTATTATAAAAATTATTATAATTTATACATATGTATATATATATAAACACATTATTTTTTACAATTTACATAAAAGAATAAGCTAACGTAAGATATTTTACCGCAATTATTGAATAACATTTTAAAATATATTTTTTAAATAAATAATTCAAAATAATTAAATGCGTTGTCAACAAATTAAAATGTCTACTTAACGATGATTTAAATTTTTTTCTTTTTTTTTTTTTGTAAAGAAAAAATTTAACAATTTTGTAATAATTTACAATTATATAGAATTTTAATATTCTTTGCTATTTAAGCTATCAAAGACATACCAGCACTCATATGAACCGCATCGAATATCTTTATTTTTTGGTTTCGTTCAATTTGCATTACCTATTTGTCTGTCCTTCGGGCTATGCAAAGATTACTAATATATATATTGTGATCATAATTTTGAACGACTTTACAGAAACTCGAATTATAATATTCTTTGCCGGTTGAACAATGAAAGACACGTTAACATCCGCATGAACTACACCCAATACTTTTCTTTGTCTGTCCCTCTATTCCTCGGTATAAGCAAAGATTAGGATATCGCTTTGTTTTTGCACTTCTATAAACCGATATATTGTGACAGTGATTTTCACCGACTTTAGAGAAACTAGAATTAAAATATTCTTTGCCATTTGGACTATGTAAGACACACTAACATCCGCGTGAACTATACCTAATTCTTTTCGATCCCGTTCAATTTACTTTGTCTGTCCCTCTGTCCCTTGGTATCTGAAAAGATTAGAACATCATATTGGTTTTGCAACTCTATAAGGTAATATATTCTGGTTGAAATTTTGAACGACTTTAGCCGAATGAGTTTAAAACTGAATTGCTGCCGTTGACAAACCCGACGTAGAAGTCAAAATTGTGTAGCAATATCGAAGACAAAATACTGAAATGTTATCGTTCAAAATTCGAAATGGATGTTTAACTGATACCGATTTAAGATATTACGGAAATGAATCTAATGGATCCATTAAATATAAACCAAATTGTAAACGAATTCGAATTTATATACACTTTAAGTGGTGGATATTAAGTTTCGCCCGAAGACGTTAGTATAAGTTTCTTATAATTTAATTTATTTAATTTATGCGCTATTTATCTTTTTCATTTTTATTTTTCTATGAGAACTCATTCTTTTTTTTCTTTGTTTGTTTCATTTTCTTTTCTTTTTTTTTTTTTACTTATATTGATTTTATTTTCTTGTAAAATTTCTAAAAATTCTTTTTGTAGTTTTGGAGGAAGATTAATATGACACCGATTTATTTTACGTTTTTATCATTATCACTATTATTACTTTTAATAATAATTTGTCTTCTACACCTACAATTAAATACATCAAATATAAATTAAACTTGAAATTCCAGGCATACACATTCGTGGGGAATCAAGCACAGTTCAGGACAAAACAATTGATAATTTTTCTCGCAATTAGAATTTAAAAATTACAACAACATTAAAATGCGTATTTATTTACTTTAGCTAGAGAGAAGCAATCGAAGGAGCTTGTTCGTTTAAGTCTGAAACAAAGCTTGAAGAAATTTTAATTGGAATTACGATGAATACGTAGAGAGGGCAAAATGCGTGGTCTTCGTGCTAAGCATAGATATACGTTATATGTATATATATATAAATACGTTTTATGAATGCTTCGCCTATATAGACGGGACTTGCGCGTGGGATAATAAGAACACGTACAGCGTGACGAGTTGTGCTGGAAAAGGGTTTACTCAAAAGAGAGCAGATACTTTTCGACAGCTTTTAAGGATCGATTCATCGCTCTCGTTAGCGAATAAAATCGATCGTAAGAAAATTGTTTTTTTTACAATGTCATTGAATATAAAAAGCGTGACATCAGCCTTGATACCATAGTGCACGGAATGTTCCAAAGCAGACATGACTTCCTCCAGATAACACATGCCGGACGCCTCATCTACAAACGAAGGGGGGAGTTCCACAAAAATATAGTTTTCCTCCATTGAAGTTCCATCGAAAGTTCATATGTGTGCGTGTGTTACAAGTGACAGCATATTTATGTCTTCAGGTCGGCGTACAGAGTATCTTTCATAGGACCAACGCAACGACCGGTACATTAAACAACACTGAATAAAAAGCATTAAGTTTTTGTGTTAATTTTCTAAAGCTCGATTCAATCAATAAAAAAAGATTCTGGCGATACGTATTTATCTTGCAGCAGAGTCTCGCGCACCGTGTAATCGCATTAACGATGGCCGATGGCGGTCAACATTCTCTGTAAACAAAACTTGTAACAACTGCGGATGTCACCAAAACTGTTCAGGAAAATCTTGCTTGAAGGTCATGAAAATCGAAATAAATATATAGGTAAAAATGTTAATTTATTCTATTGAATGCTTTGAAAGATATACACTGCTCACAGGGAAATTCGGAATTACGATTAAATCTTTTAACCCAATGCAGTCATCCGGGGTTTTCGACTGATTTAGCGACGTCAAAGTCATCTAAAGGGCTTGCACCGGTGCATGAACCGTCTTTTATTCAGATTTAGATTCCCCTGTACCATCGAGCATAAGTGAAGGATATATCTTTCCAAATAAGAGAGATATCATACACACATTATGAAAGAGTTCCGTTCACTTTAGAGGAGGATTGACTTTAATGTCAGCAATTATCGGAATTTTTGATCGATTAAATTGAGTTTTCATAATAGTACAGTGAAAAATAAAAACGTTTTCATTGCTAACCCTTTAGGTGCTTTCTTTAGAAAGTCATTAAGGCGTTAATTTGCTTGTGCTAAAAATTGAGTATACTTCTCTAACACATACGCACACGTAGAACTTCCCAGAAATTGTAAAATAACTCTTTTTTTTCTTTCTTTAAAAAACGATGATAAACTTTCTTGGATGCAAAAAAAAAATTAGTATATCAATGTTCTCTTCTTTTTTTGTCCATCTTCTGTTTTAAAAAGAAAATATTGTAAATAAATGACTTGACTTATAATAATTATAATTGAAAACAAAAACTAAAATGCTTAGGAGTTTAGAAAACCGAAGACAATCTCTTTAGCTTCAAATAGTCTGCAGTGTTATGCAGGAAAGTTCCTCTTCTTTTGTCTCTCTGTCTTTCTCTTTTTTCTCCTTCCCTTCCTCTCTCGCTTTCTCATGCTTTCCTTATATATATATATATATATATATATATATGCGTACACATATATACCTATATAGATACACATCAAGCCGTGTATAGAGAGAAGCCTTCACGGCTAGCTAAAGAAGGCCGACTTGGTATATCCAATAAAAAATATTCTGTAATTAAAGCGTGCGAAAAAAGGCCAACGCTCAACATCTCCGAGAAAAGTTGTAATTGTTTTATCACAAACTATAAATTACGTGATTCGTTTTCTTCAAACTAAAACGGCAGAGAAGATCTTTTTCATGTTTTTTAATAAACTTGTGTATAACATATCATTTACACACAAACGTATCTTAGTTACATATCAACTACGCTTATATTTCGTTTTTAATAAACTATTTATTCAATATCCTTGTTTTCTATACATAGTAAAACTTGTTTGACGTAAACTTCTATTTCTAGGGAAATAAGTTTTCAATTCGTATATATATATATATAGGTTTCACGCTTGTATTCTTTTTTGTTTTTTATTTCGTTTTGGAAAGTGTTTATATATAGACGTTAAATGTGAAATATTCATTTTATGTACCACCAGAAGTTAAAAATGTACTCATCTCTTAATATTTCTTAGCGAAAACCGTATTATCAGCGTGCACTTGCTCAAGAGAAAAAAAGATTTTAACCTATGTCTTCCTTCAAGTCTATCTTTGTTTTCTGTACCACTTTGGACGAGCGTGGGCGTAACATTTTCAGTAAGAACGCAAGCAAGACAAAAATTCAAAGAGTGCTTATGGCTTGGCTTGAACGCCCCAAATCTCCCTTTGGCAGACTCACCCAAGTTTGGATATCGACTAAGAGAAACGCGCGCAACGGTTGAAGGAACTGCTTGCGCTAATGAAATGTTACCAAAATTTGTAACCTTAAGACCGCAGGTAACGACCATTTGCGATTGGAATTGTATGCTTTTCAAATTTTAAATAAATTTTTAAAACACAATTCTTCGTATTTTTTTTTTTTCTCTTGGATTTGAAAGTAAATAAATGTAAAGTTTTTAATAAACAAATTCCAATTTAGAAATATTTGAAATATTTTTTACAGCTTTTGTTTTTTTTGTTTTTAATTTCAACAAAATCTGACATCCGCACGCATTTTGCTTTTCCTTGAAATTATTCAGTGTTTTGTCTGTTTCGTTGGATGGAAGTAAATTGTTTTATGTTACTAACCTGCTCGTATATGAGAATGCATATATGTAGTATGTATGTATGTATGTATGTATGTAGGTGTGTTAAAAACACACTCTATGCTCAGAATTGATTCAGTCTGAATGTAAGTGTGGATGAGCAAACGAGATTTGTTGTTGGAATTTTTGTATTTATTTATTTAGTAACCCGTAGCGTCAAATAAATCTGGCAGCACCAGAGGTGGACAATTGTGCGGACTGCATGTTACGCGAGGCGTGTCATCAGTAGTTGAACCATCAATACAAATACATTGCAAACAATTTCCGGTATCCTGGGGCAAAATATCACCGATTTTATAAAGAGTGCCTGCGAGCAAAGCAAAAAACAAAAACTTATTTAAACGATGAAATAAAAGGTGGTGTGCAAATAAAAATCAAAATAAATTTACAGTTCACTTTAAGCCAAACACATTTTGAGTAAAATACTTACCAACTATGAAAAGAATTTTTTACAAAATTTCATTCTCAGCTTGGAGATTACATATGAAAATATTTCTTTTGAAAAAAATATTTGTCAAGTACCATATTAGAAAGGACTTGACGATTAATCTGGTCTGTATTCTTTTCCATTTTCCTCCTTATATTCGATACATATCTTTTATTTATACAGTAGGACCATTTCCGTACTTAAAAATGATCTTAGAGTCATATTCAAAAATATCACATGTCTTCATATGGACTGTAAAGTAGATGTGTATACTCAACTCTTACACGGTAGATGCGTTCTTTAGAAATCCGTGCAAAAAAAAAAAATCGTGTGAAAATTACATGCAAAAATTGCTGGTATCTTCCAGAACTTTAAATACTCGTGGAAAAGAGAAAACGCTCCATAAACCGTGCAAAAAAGTAATAATAAAATCCAAACTCATTTTTTTTACAAAAAAAAAAAAAAAAATTCATATTAGTGTACAGTGAAAATTCAGCCCATAACTACATACAACATTTAAAAATTGAAAAATTGGGCTTAGGATTAAAAACCAATTTTCCAACTTTTCATCGCCACTTGATAACAAGCATGCACTCTCACCACGGATTGAATACACAATGCTATCATCAGTAGATACGTCAAGTATGTCTAGCACAAGTAGAAGTAAAGCAAATCTCTAACACATATGTGGGAATAAACCGACTGACTTCTGTTCACAATTTTCCCTAAATTGTATTTTGTTGTTGTGTACATAAGCTTTTGTGAAAGACTGTCAAGATTCAAATTTAAGAACAAAATTTTTTTTTGAAAAAATTCGTGTAAAAGTGAATTTGCTTTCATTTGGGAACCGTGTTATTTCAAGACCGTGTAAAAGAGGTCGGAAAAAAGAGTTGCATGTATAAAAAAACAATATTTTTAAACCAATTAAATAAACATTTAAGAGCCTCGATTCTTGTAGGCAGGGCCGAAATTAATTTACGGCAGGTCTTTCCTTTTTACAGCTTTAAAGAGGGCGCGCCTACTTCACTGCCGTCGTAAAAAAACTACTAAAGCAAAGTAAAAGCTTTCAAGTTCTTATTGCAAGAACTAGTTCACGTGCCATTGCCGGAACCATTTCTGAGCAGCATTGCCACGTGGAGGAACGTTGTATGGGCTCTGACGCAAATATCTTTTACGACTTACGTGAAATAATTGAAAAATAGCTCGTGGCTGGAATTAAGAATCGGAGGAAAGATGTAAACTGAATGGTGGCGGTTATCGGGCAACAAGTTAACTACGTGCTAAAGCCCGTTTCGGCTGTTTTCTTAAGGACAGATGTGTCACGATGGACACGGTCGCCTGGTCGGCTTCCTTTATCCTTGATCCGAATGGACATTTTTTACATTTGCTGTCACCAAGAAATCCGGCGTAAGCCCATCTTAGAGTAGTGGCGATTATCTTCCCCTAACAGACAAATAAACTAAACTCTTACAATTGACCTCAGCCTTTCGCATTTTTAACGACACTCCCGCAGGGGGAGAAATTTTATATAGCCTATGAATAAGACGAAGCATAACTGTACTTCTATCGCAATAATTACAAACCTGAGGACGTCAAAATCAACATTAGTTTAGTTTTATGGAAGCCAATAAGTTAAGTAAGCGTCCTGAGAACCGTTGCGATTAATTATGGAAAATTTTAAAGAAGATATTTTTTTGAAAAGTTTTGGTCAAGTTCGATGAGGTGTTTCAAGTTCATATGAAAAATTGTTTCTTTACAGCCAAAGCTTTCTGTCTAGAGAAAACACTGATGTGAAATCTTGCACACAAATGTGCGAGGATCACTGGAAACTTCAGTTCAAACCTGACTAAAAAAGGCAAGACAATACCCTTACAATGAGAAGGGCCTGTAATTTATAGGCCATAGAAGAAGAAAAAAAGGGAAATTGGTTCAAATAGTCTTTACGATCTAATTGATGCGTTTCGATTTACTAATCAATTGAACAATTTATTCTATAGTCTTATTGTATTATTTTAAAGTGACGCCTGCCAATTTGTTGTCCTAAGGCGAATATAGTTTTCTTTCCTTATATTTTCAAATTTTGTAAAGTTTTTAATTGTTTCCTTTAATGCAAATGCTTTGTTGTTTTATGTTATATAAAATAGAAGGAAACGTAATAATAAAAATTGCCCATAATTCAAAATAAAATCAACGTTAGATAAAAAACTTCAAATATCTTTGTGTTGAGATGTTTACAATACTTTTTCCTTTTGTTTTTTTTTATGCCCATCGCCGAAGGATGAGGGGTATGTTCACTTTGCCACAACGTTTGCAATGCCTGGAAGGAAGCTTCACAGGCCCGTCAAAGTACATGTATCCTTGATCAGCATTAAATTTTCAATCAATTGAAACACACCCGTCTGTCCGTCCGTTAAATCTCTATTGAACTAGCCGCCAAAAGGAAGCTATCGACCTAAAATTTGGCAGAAACATTAGAAGTTGTTGCATAAAAGTTTTCGTTGCAAATGGGCTAAATCGGTTGAAGGACACGCCTACAGTGCTACACAAGGTGGACGCAATTTAGTTGTAAAAAATTGGTTTTTTGCTTATTACTTACTCATGAATTATAAAACAGATAAATCTATAAAAATTTTGAATGTATATTCTTTAAGCGATGTTGTAGCGCCTATACAAAAATGGAAAGAGTTGACCATATTATAGTGTATTGAAAATTAATTTTCTTTTTCCGTTGCCTTTATAACGCGCAGAAGCAAGCTCCACATAAGGTATATATAAAGTATTCTTGGTTAGTTTCAAATTTGGAATGCACGTAAGCGTATCCGTCCATATGTTCGTCGGCCCAACTGTCTAATACTATTACGTATTAACATTCTCCCAACCGAAAATAGAAAAAATCAGACAAGCCCGCCCAGTATTATCGGATAATTAAAATTGAATTCTTTTTTTTGGCGTTCTTTAGGATAATGATGATCGGTATACAAGATTCGGTGACTACCGAATATAATTTTCTTACTTGTTTAATTTTCTCTATTGTGTTATACATACTTTCCCTTGTTTTTTGTTCTTTTTTATATTATTTTCTTAAACGACAGCTTGCTGCCGTATAGATCATAAATTTAAATCATAAATAAAACAAACGTTTGTTTAAAACTTTTTCAACTTAGAAAGGTAAACAAAGCTGGTGAGCAGTAACTATAATATAAGCACTTGAGGTTCAAATAACCTAAAAAACTACTTACAGGCATATGCACATGTGCGCTACATAAATACGTGTATATATATAGTAAACATAAAAAGTCTGATTTAAGTTATTAAGAGAGAAACACACATGAAAACTTGTGCTATTTGAGTTCCTTTCTAAATAAAACAATGCATGCAAACAAATCAACATTAACACCACTTTCGTGTACGTATGTTGCATGTTGTGCATACAGTACACATGCAAATGTATTAAAATAGGTCTATTGTCAAGTGTTTTTACTGTTGAGTGCTATAATACATAGTTTTTCGGGTGGTACCGGCTGGATGTGTTGTGTATTTGTTGACACATCATCATCACCTAGATTTTGATTTTTTGTTATCTCTTACTTCTCACTCTCTCTCTCTCTCTCTCTCTCTCTCTCTACGTATTTTTTACATTTGCTCATAGCCTAGAGGAAATGGAAATGTCATGTTTTATGCATATATATATATGTGCGTAAATTTATGTAATTGCGTGTGTGTGGGTGTCTCTTTTACGTTGTACGTTGTGTACGTTATATACACTGCATATATCGCGCGCGTGTGTGTGTGTGTGTGTGTGCGTATGTATAAGTGCCTGTATATGCTTGTTTTCTCTTTCAATACACTTAACATACAGACAGATAGACAAAGTGTTGCTATATTTAGTTAAGGATTTAAGTTTACATAAAAATGTAATTAAAAATAAACACAAAATAATATAAAGTTAAGTAAAAAATGTGAAATAATTTAGATCTGCAGAATGATATGTAAAGAGAGAGGCAAGCAAGAGCAATAACTAAGGGAAGATAAAGATTTTCAATTTATGTCTTGGAAAGCAAGAAAGTTTTAATTATGATATTTGAGTTAGTTGCAGTCTCTAAAGAGGAGAATGCATATGCGAATAAGAAATAGCCTTAATCGGGCGAAACCGACTCACGCATCACACACGCAATTCACGTCACTTTGTCTGCCATAGTTCAAATTTAAAATTAAAAAAAAAAAAAAATAATAATTGGAATTTTTAATATTTTTTAACAAACTTTTATAGAGAAGAAGTTGAGCAGAAAAATAGACCGATATGGTCCAAATTTAATGGAGTGCACTTAAAAATAAATGCACTTTTTTGTCGCCTTACGAACGCTCATGTGTAGTAAAAACGATTACATTGCAGAAAAAGCGAAGAATTACCCCATGCAACCCTAACTTTCCAAATTCATTTAGTATACCATAGTATAGAATACGATGCGTACCTAGAAATATTGCTTGCTTTATTTATTTACTTATTTTTCTTATTTGCCATACCATAAGGCCATAGACCAATATGTATAATTACAAGATATGTAAGTATCATGCACAAGAGTGGTTATAAAATAAATATTATGTTAGTAAAATTCAACTTAAAAGCTATTGAGGTAATCATCTTGATTATCAATAGTAATCATTTACAGCCAGCAAAAGAGAATGAAGCCAATTTAAGAATGAGGGCAATTTTCTTCTAAGACTACTCAAGAAATCATTAAAAGATTTCAAGGTCTGCGGTAAAGGATTTCAATATCGAGCTGGACGGAGCTGCGGAATGACCGTTCAGTCCACCATACTACACGTTTTAATTATAATGCCAAACTCAGATAGATCACATTTCCTGCCTCCCCCTCCTCCTCCAGCCATTATAAATCTCTCTTCCTTCGATTACCTATAGTCCTATCTTGCTGATCTACCTTTGTAAACTCATTACATTTTCATAGTTCAACCGTTTAGTAAGGCTATTGCAGTTCTCTAAATTAAATATGAATCTTTGTACCTTACACAACTTGTGGCGGACGTATGTCACACGCAGAAGGGCTTAAAACAGACCCACCTTTCATTACATCGATCGATTCAAAATCATTTTCGGAATCGAGTTAAGCCTGTCTGTCCACGTACATTTGTGTTCATGCTACAGGTCTCAATTTTTGAAATATTTTGATGATATTTGATGCACTGACGTGCTTTGACCCAAGAATGGCTTGAATCGGACCAATTTTTCGACGCCCTTCAAAATTTCTCAATAAGCTAAGCTACTAAGCTAAGCACTAGTACTTCGGCATTCGAAATTAGTGGAAAACTTTGGATCGACTTTGGATCCTACAGAAACTAAAGCTTTGCATGGTAAGAAGGTCGAATTTTCACACTTTCATGGGGAAAATCGGCTCATACTAGTAAATTGACAACACAAACGACCTTACTATATTGGGATCAGGTAGGTCTATTTTTTGGATACCATCACCTATGAGGATTCTATTCAAACCTAAACTCTTCTATGCTAAAAAATCCAAATTGTTAATTTTTTTGTGATGAAAATTTGTTCATGATAGTAATTAAATAAATAAATTAACGGACCCTAATTTGAGCTACAGTTGACTCCATGATATCTCATGAGTAGTTAGTTAGCCCTTTCGGAAAAAGACTTAATTTGTAATATCTTATGATAAAAGTTAATTCATAGTAGCGTTTAAGCAACAAAATTAACGGTAGGGAATTTAGATCACATAGGTCTATTTGTTTTGAATCTTGACGCAAACTCTTGTATGTAAAGGAAGTCGAATCTTCCAATATGGGCGGACATTAGACAAGCTGATAAATAGGCATGAATTAATTTAGAAAGTGATTCGTAATCGAATGATCCTCCTAACCACATTTTGGGTGTTACATACATCTACACAAACCTTAGGTGAAAATATATACCTTCGCACAGTGATTGTTGTAAGCAGGATTTCTTACACTACACTTTAGTTGCTTATTTTAACTGAAGATTTAAATCTACATGCTATAGAGGCAAAGTTCTTAATTGTATTCAACGGAACAAGAGTATCTCTTCATCCCTCATAGATAAAGATATTAAAAGAATTGCATTGAAATCGAAAGAAGAGTTCTTTGCAGGCTAATTAAATTATCAGGATTGTAAGGCAATCTCCTCTTTAGCTAAAATAGCCAACTTCTTGATTTTACTATGGTTTCGTTTAGTTTTCTAGTTTGCTGACGGCAACTTGATAGCAGGAGGCCGTTAACGCAGGACCACAGCGCGGCCTTGTAATAAGAACTTTTTTTTTTGCTACTTCAGCTTGGCTTAAACAAATCTTATTTGTTTCGTGCAAATTAAAGTATCTTCGCTCAATTGCAAAAAAGAAAAAAAAGCAAAAAAAACGAGAAAAATTTATTTTCAATCATTTACTTACCCATAACGTTGCACTGACGTTCTGGATTTAATGTAGTTGTTATTGCTGCTGTTGAGGCCATTTGGGGCGTTGTGCTGTCAGGCAATGCCGGCAAAGTAAAATTCGTTGCAATCAATGCATGCGTTGAGTAGGTGTTTTTGTTTCTGTTACTGGCACTGTCTACATAACCAGCAGCGGTGCGATTTTTAGTTAATGCTGTTGATATGTTTACTTGATTGAGGGCTGCTGTAAGGAGCGTATTGCCGCTATTGCTACAGTTGCTATTGTTCGCATTCATGTTAACAATTAAATGTGACTGTTGGCTAAATAAATGCTTCGTTGTTGGAGTGATTTGCTTTTCAAGCGACTGCAATGGTGTTTGTGATTGCCCTTGCCATTGTGTTTGTAGGCGTTCATTATTTTCCAACATGGTTGCCGTAGTCAGGGTTATATCGATGTTTGACATATCGACTGCATCATTCTCCGCACCACTGCTATCCTCATCTACTCCACTATTCTCCCTATCAATGATATCATTGAAATCCATGACCATATTATAAGGATTACTGTATGGTGTAAAATTGTTATTGTTATTGTTATTGCTGTTATCAGTATTCGCTCGATGGTTATTGGTAGCATTACGTATTTCATTATTTCTATCTTGTGCAGTCTTTAAAGCTGTAGCAACATTCGAAACTGTTCGCAATGGCAAAGATGTGTCTGATGTAGTAATTAATGTTTTTGTTGTTGTCGTTGCTACTTTATTTGAATTTGTAACAATTCCCATATCAATATTATCATAGTTTCTATTATACTTAGCATAAGTTTCAGTTGAGGTTAGCCAACGATGAAAGGCATCATCCTCATCATTCATACTATCATTACTATCGCCGTCTTCAGCATCATTCCTGCCGTTAATGCTGTCATTCAATTGCTCGTCTTCGACATCAACCACATCATCATGTAGTTCATCTCTTGATACTGTCTCATGCATGCTGTCTTTATTGCTATTAATTTTAATTCGATTAAAATCCAAACTCCCAGTAGATTGTGGTTGCGTCTTTTGCTTTATAACAAAATTTAAGAACAGAAAACACGAGACAATGAAATATTTTTAAAAATTTAAATATTTTTTCTCAGCATTTACATAAACAGTTTTTTTTTTAATCATGAATAGGATATAAGTTTAAAAAAGAAAAACTTTTCTCTAAAAATTATTTTAATGATTTTATATGTAACGCAGCATTGCCTCGAACAAAAATCTCGTATCGCTAATGAGTTTCAAAAACTTTACGGTTTTGGTAAGCTGATATCCACATAAGCACTAACCGTCTGCTTACGATGATATTCAGGAGCAAGAGAATATTTTGAATTCACCAAATAATTCCATGCCGTTGCCTTCGCCCACACACGGGGCAAAAGTTTTTGTTAATCCTTTGATTCTATTTAAAATATTTTTAGAAGCAGTTATTAAAAACGGCAACAAAATGTAAATCATTTTTTTGACGGATTGGGTTACAACTTTTTGTAAATTTATTTATTTTTTTTTTTGCAATTAATTGTGGGTCCTTGTGGAATAGAGACGTGACAGCTATGTTATGCAAATGCGTTTTGCTAGACAAAATATTTTATTTTAATTGGCTCATCGACCTCTGCTATGAATTACTGCGAAATTTAAGCTCGAAATAAATTTTTGATAAGTAAAGTAAACTATTTGGAATACAATTAAGAAGCTTCAGAAAGTACATTTTCTAGTAGAGGAGCTAAAGAGTGGAGCAGCGAGTATGGGAAGACTACTTGTACAAATCAGTGTTGTTCAAGAAAAGGTCGCTAATGATCTATACACCTTTCAGCTCGGATTTAGCGTGAGATTACGCGCAAAACTTTCTTTACATCTGTTTCGTGTTTAATGAAGAAGGAGCATGAAGATAGTGCTCTTATCATAAAGAAGCTTAACACTCGAAAAGAATGCTTTGAAAGATCGATTATATGCTTTGAGGTTGTTTAAGGAAAGCTTAATAAATTTGTCTTTAATAAATCCTGCTTTTCAGCAACTAAGCGACGAGATCACTCTTTGAAAAATTTCATTTAAAGGTTCGCAAGTAGAAGGACCATAAGAAGGATCATCAAATCTATTAAATCTTTCCCACACATTTTTTATATATTCTACTCGTTGATGCTCGCGGGCTCAAGTCTCAGTACGCTAGAACGAACTTGGCTCTAATTATAGTGAGTACTTGGTCGATAAGGACCTGATACTTACTGACTGTACACGCATCCGCTAGGAAGTAGGTCTGCCTCTTCTGCCTGTCTTTCTCTATTTCTTCACTTCTTTTTGATTGTAGACCGCATAACAGGTGATAAGGGTAAGGAGATACATTCTTTCTTAAGGCCGAACCTGTCCAGCTACTAAGCCGCTAAACGGCATTTTTAATGTTTATTATGCCCTAAAACACTTGTGGTACAGTGGATAGTATGTTTGCACGGACGCTTGTAACACAAAGAAAGACTTGAAATAAACCTAGTTTATATTACACCGAGCGTTTCATAATCCTGAATCGATCTTCGGTTGTCTGTCCATCTGAAGTCTGCGCATGCGTTCTCGTGTTCAACCTACAAATCGCAATTTTCGCGATATTTTAAAGAAATTTAATACACTGACCTATTTTGACCCAAGGCTATTGAAAATACTTCGGATGGGACTATTTGTTCGACTACTCTACATGTAATACTTTATTTTGGTAAGTCCTTAGAAGAAAGCATAGTGTAAAATTTAGAATTTCCCAAAAAAATGGCTCAGTAACGGAATATATCGGCATTATAAATTGATGCGAAAACCTTTGACCGGATGGGGAAATTTTTTGAGCCGGTTGCCATGTAAGCCTACCTGCCGAAAGTGAACCCAAATTTTCCAACAATTCTTAATGGAAAGTCGTTCGTAATAATAATTTCACATAAAAATTAACCTTGCAGAAGTTGAACCCCGTAGTTTAATTTTTTGGATTCCTATCCATATAAGGCTTTTAACGAATAATAAAACCTATAGTATAAAGGTTTACCATAGACTAAATCAACAATAGGAAATTTGGTTAAGAAAGATTTATTTGTTGGACCGCACATTTGTAGGGGCTCTCATGCAATTAAATTCTTCCATGGCGACGAGGCTTAATTTGGGGTTTGTTATAACGAATCTTGGGCAAGTAAATAAAATTTAGCAAAATTTAAACCACTTTGACGTCTCCATTACGAGAGCTTTTACAAAGACTATGCATTGGCATAAGAGTAATCTATAACTTTCGGTGTATTATTAATTTAGCAAAGCGGTGTGGGATAACTAATGGATGGCTTTATCCGGCTGTAGCGTACTTATGTTTACCTTACATACTTACAAAATTTTGTAGGAAGTAACTTGAATTTTTTCTTGCTAAATTCTACTTTCCTGCTACTTTTTTCACGATAAGCAACATTATTGAAATTCACGTGCTTTGCGAAATTGAAGTTTTGTCTCAAATAATATTTTGAAGAATTTTTCGATGCGCTTTTAGTAAAAAAAAAGTTATTTATAAAGCAGTTCCATCTTTTATTTGATAAAGTGTGGTGTCCACTGAACGAAGCCGGACTTTTTAACTACTAAACTGTGTGATAGATTGCTCTTCTGTCACCATAAGTTATTCCTACTGCCGTACAAGGCTGAAGCAAAAAGGAGAGGATTTCGAAAATATATTTCATATCAAGTTGCTAGTTAAGGTTTTTGAATATATATTTCCAAATTTATTGCGACAAATACAAATGCAAATATTTGCAATTGGGAATATTCGATTTATAGAAGGCAAACAGCAAAACAGTGTTAATCTTACGTATTTCGCTTACTACCCTTACTGATTCTTGCTTATATGAATAAATAAAGTATTGGTAAAGCATTGACATATGGGCAATTAGTGCCCACGCTATTGCCACGCAACAAGTATGCAGATTCATTTTTCGCGCATTTTTCATCCGTGAACAAGCGATACCGTAGAAAGTCGTGGTTCGTTTTCATAAGAGAAATCATTGTTGGAATGCGCTTTAAAAACGTTAGTGTGTTAAATTGACTGTGTCGACTTTAAAGGAAAACATTTCTTTTGTACGATGCACATGTATATATCTGCCCAACTCTGGTGTAGCTTTGCTATTTGTTGCTATGTAAATATATATATATATATATATATATATATATATCAGCTTTATTATATTTCGTTTTGTTTTACTTCATTTTACGTTCCTTTCTTTTTAACGAGGAAACTTTATTATTCTTCCACATATTTGACTTTGAATTAAAACTTCTTGTTGTTGTTTTTTTTTGTTTTGCGCGTTTTGTAAACGAAAAATTTATAATATAATACTACCCTCAGGAACCAATTAGTTGGGATATAAATTTTTATGAATAGTTTTTATGTAGTTGTAAAGAAAGAGAAAGAGTATAAAAAAAAAAAAAACTTTATTCAAATATATGGAGCAAATGCTTATTAATGGTAACTGGTATATACCATATTAATGGTAACGAAGGGACAGCGGAAATATTTTAACCAAATTGTAGAATAATTTTTCTTTTTTTTTTTTTTTAGAGTTAGTTTCAAGCATTCATATGTGGGAAAATTTTCAACTTTTAATTTCAAATGCACTGGCAAATGAATAGAGAGACAAACTAATAAGCCAAGCAAGCGATGGCTAAATATGAAAGAATAAACTTGTCCATGCAACAAGTCGGTAGCGTAACTATCAGATTGACTGATATGTGGAGTGTGTTTCTCCGGTGATCATAAATGTACTTTTTAGGTCTCTCTGGTTCTTTTACGTTAGCACAGTGTTGCCCTTCGGTGGTGAGTATAACAAAATAACAATTTAAAAATTTGCATAATTAGCGAGCGATTTAATCCTTCAACAAAACTCTTGCATTTTATTTCTAAAAGATTCTGTTGAGATTAAGATTTTCCACAAGTTCCGCTTTGCTGTGAGTTTCTGATGCCTGTTTCTAAACTTGATCTAGGACCCATAAACATGGGGACATACGCGTCAATCTTCGATGGACGAAAAATCAAACAGCCGTTAGACATCGAATCACATCCTAGGCCTAATGAAGAATGTAACTATTTTACAGGCTCCTTAACACATGATTCTGGGTATTACCAACGCAAAACCGGAAAAGGGGCTGAAAGAGATGAGTACGAAAATCTCGTAATTTAAAAAAAAATAAGAACTGCTCTGCTTCTATCAAAAATTAAGCCATAAAATTTTTAAATCTCCATCCAAACTTTCATTGAGGTATGTAAAGTAATCTATGTATCGTTCTATAAGTTTTTATCTAACTTGGTCTCAGACGACATTCCAGGCACTTCTGCGTCTCTGCTCAAGCTGAACACTTTTAATTCTGATGACAATGTTATACAATTAATTTCTGTCAGCGGATTGCTTTCACCTTAACAATAATTCCGATATGACTTTAAATTAAAAAGGCTTGGGGGATAGAAAGCTTACACAGCATTAAGTGGAAAGCGGAAAAACAAAAGCTATTCTAAAAGGGAAAATGAAAAACCGACCTAGTTACATTTATGTATGTAGAATATCAGCCAGTAGATGCCACACGGAATGCAGGCAAAGTAATCCTAGCTCACATCAATGCAACTGAAGGCCTGCCCAAAAAGCGAGCTGAAATGATGCCGGGACCGATATACCTAAAGGACTTGAAAATGAAATGCTGCCATCAGTTCCAGTCTTCTTTCGGAGTTAGTTACATAAAAAAACAATGTCCATCAATATGCACAGATTTTGAAAAAAATGGTGGTCGTGGCACGAACCTCTTTTTAAACCAGTTTCCAGAAAAACTAAATTACGGTACAGCTGAGGTCAGAATGCTACCAATTGTATTGTCTTAGGCAAGTTCACAAGATAAGACGATAGGCAAGGGATAGTGTACTTAGGATCTAAGATATTTTTAGATGCTCAAGCATATGTCATACTAAATCTAGCGAGTCTATTGCAAATAGAACACCTAAACGGTACAAAAGTAGCCGCAACAAAATCTTGTAAAATAAAAGCTTATCTTAAACAATTTTTTTATATAATTTATTCATCGTATAATGAAACTCATATCCCAGCACGATTTTCAAATGCTTAGCAGATACTTTTTAATACAACTGTTGCTTTTCTCTTCAAGCGAATTTTTAAGGCATGCAATTACTAATGTGTGTACCAAAAAAAAAAAATATACTTTTCCCCTATCATTTTACTATTAGTAAATTGTCAACGTTCACAGAGAAGATAAATATTAGTTTAAGAAAAATGAGTTCACAAACTTTGTCCTTAACCATCCGAGAAAGACATTGTTATTTTTATCAAATACTTTACCATCTTGCGGTGGCACCAATCTCAAATATATACGTAATACGCTAAATATTGAAGACTATAAGATGTAAGAGAGAGATGTAATACGTAATAAAGTAGAGAATGAGTAATTTTCGACATTTCTTCTTCAACGCACTAAGATTTACTTACTCATTAATTATTGTTAATAAAAACGGTGGATTATATTAATAAACTCTAGTTAAGCGCATCTCTAAAGTTTCATGTGAACTCATGGCGTGGAGGTTTAATTCCCTGGATGGCTTAAATGCACATGACACAATCCCAGCTATTTAGGGAGCCGCACCTCATTCTGAAGTGGCAGAAAATGGGAAGGCGTATCAGTCATTTGCTCTTGTCCAGACAATGGAAGACTCGAACATCGCCTGAATATTTAGAGTTGCATCAATTTCTCAAAGGTTCGTTCCCAGTTCCTAAGACGATAGCAACCCTTCCCATAAGGAAGCAACTCTTCCTTTGGACTATAAAACTTTCGCTTACACTTCCAGCAACTGAAAGCCGCCCCTTAACTTTGTATTATCCGTACTGCGTGGAATACTATTCAATTTCTTTTTTTTCATAGATTTTCAGTGTCTCCGGAGAAATATCGACGATTAATAATGTACTCTCAGTCTCTCTATAATTGCGTCCCATAATAAGAGTGTACTCTCCCCACTTAATCATTGCATGCAAGACTAGCCTTCACAGTGGTGTGACTTTATCGAGAAAGTAGCCTTCATGTCTAGCTCTTCCGCTATACTCTCTGCCCCCTCTGAGGAGAGCTTTCTGCCGACAAGTTTAGCGTAACCTTAACACTGTTCTTTTAGATTGCTAAACTTTACCGTGATTAGATGCAACGAAGGCTTAACTAACTAACCCAGTCGATTATATCTCTATGAGTAATTGTACCAAAAATAATCGTTAGTTATTTATTCCCCTACAAATCTTTACTTTTAATATCCATCCATTAGGCTTAATGACCTTTGTTAATAGATTTCTCCCTTCTCTTATTAAGTGTTTAATTTTTAAAGTAACTGTAGGTTAAGTACAGTTATAGATACCTGCATGCATTTTAAGTTTTTAGATCTTTTTCAAATGAACCCTTCATATCGGAAATCTATTTCATCTAAACTATGCGCGTATATAAGTTAAGCTTTTGAAGTGAACACAGCATTCGGTTTTCAAATTTTCAATATGTAGAACCTTTTGCCAATTAAACGAAAGTTAATCGTTACTTTTCCTACTGATCTCGAAGGCGAGCGTTATTCAGTTGTGATAAACGATAAAAATGGACACAATACTAAATCTAAAATGCCAGAAACCATGGCATGAACGAATCGTTACGAAAATCAGGTCCATCAGCCCAACGGAACTATCACTATGGAAATGTATCAATAACAAGTTAAACTAAAAAGATTGAAAAATAAGTGAGTAACGGTGAATAGTAAAATAATTAGAATCTTTTTGCAAGAAAACATTTTTTTTTTTTTAAAGAAAAGCTTCAATGTCACCTTAAAAAACAAAATCGTTTACAAGGCAAGCATACATACATACATACATAGCTTTTTGTCGTAAATACTCAAGTTTTTTATTCTACTTTTTTTTTGTTAAATTATCAGCCCGCAAGGATTCAGTCGTAGTGAATATCATAAGTTTTCTTGAAATGCTTAACGCCCTATGAAAAAAACCCATTAATTTTATATGCAGTTAAACGTTGACCGCGATTTACTCTTAATGACCGCGAGTTAAGCAAAAGTTACGCCTATCTTAAGTAGCCAGACAATGTTTAACCCATTAATGACTGAATTCGTAATAATTGACTCTTTTGTCCAGCAATAACTGCGCCACTCATTCATTTTGTTTTAAATCGGCGTTCAATAATTAATTACCTCATTCAGAGCAGTTAACGTTAACGTATCATCCATCTTTTGTTCGTCCTGTTTATCGTATGGGAAAGACGATGAATAATTTTGCGATGTTGTTGCTGCTGCTGCTGCTGCCGCCGTTGCTGGTGTAGTTTTATAAAATTTGGCTTTTTTCATGGGTGGCTCCGGCAAGATATCGCTGTCAATTTCTGTTGCGATTTCTGAGTAAGCGTTTTCGTATCCGTTTACATTGGCGTTGGCTGTTGTTGTCTTTACTTGTTGTTGGATATTTTTATAGGTCGGAAATATGTTCTGATTAAATGCGTCAAGTCTGCTTATATGCGATAGATGCTGTTCATTTTGCTGCTGGATAAGTTGTTTTTGTTGTTGTTTTTTTTGCTTAAGTAACTGTTGATGTTTTATATGCTGCTGATGGTGCAAGTGCTGATGATGTTGATGTTCTTCCGTTTTGTAATCGTAATACAATACGGAGGGTAAATTTTCTGGAAAATTAAGTATTTTACTTGACCCCGGGCTATGGCGATCATGTTTATTCATGAACGATTTCCAATGCTCTGGTTGTTGCTGCTCTTGCTCTTGCTGTTGCTGTTGCTGTTGCTCTTGCTGTTGTTCTTGATGTTGCATTGATTCTGTTTTTTTATTTTTTATGATCGGCTTAAGTTGTGTATGCGATTGCGAGTCATGATTGTGTTTCATCTTTGGCTCCTGTTTGACATGCATTTTTTCTTGTTTAATCAATTGATTTTTGTACGCCTTGTTTAACTCTTGTTTCATCTCAATAATTTCCGTTAAATCATCATTGTCGTATTTCAAATGATTCGACATGATTGGTTTTTTCACAGGTTTTATAATCGTCTTCGCCGTTGACAATTCATGTTCTTTACTATCTTTACCGCCTTTAATGCCAAACGTAGCAATAGTAGATGTGTCACCATAAGGTGTGGGCATGTAATCTGTACTGACAATAGCCGACTTTATTCGCTTCTTATCTGAGATGAAAAGGAAATCCAAAAAAAAAAAAAAAAAAAAAAAGAAAGAAAGAAAAAAAGGACACAAAATTTAAAACATTTCCCTTTTAAGGAAAATGAATTCTAGAAGTCAAGTGCCTTTCTGGCATTAACTATTTTAATGAAATTTCGATTCTATTTCTTTTTCCGTTTCTCGTCAGAATTTCGCCTCTTATCCTTGGCACACATACAATACTTAAGTGGAAAAGTTTCAATTCTATTTTATTTCATATTATTTTATTTTTATTTTTGTTTTTTTTTTTTTTTTTTATTCATAAATTTTTCATTTTTAAGGAACTCATTATGAAAGCATACACTTAAGTGCTTTTAAAACTGTCATTTTCAGTATTTACTGGTATAGTATTCACTGGCATAGAATACTTACCGCATTTCTCCCACCAGCAAAATATTTCACCATCCATGCATAGACACACCTCGCAGCTATCCGAACGGGGTACCTGCCAACGAAAACACATAAAACACAAAACGCCAAAAGCAATTTATGAATAAAATACTACGCCCAACACAACAAACACTTTGCCATAAACTAAATTCAGTTGAAAATTAACGAAAGCAAAAAAAAAAAACAAAAAAAAAAGAGAAGAAAAAAAGTAATTTCTCATGTAATGCATGCATTTGAAAAAAGGATAAAAATATTCGTAAAAAAAAAAAAAAAAAATGCATATATTTTTGAACTTTTTTAAAGTTTTAAACAAACACTTTTTTTTCCTGAAATTATGCTAATTTTCACAATTTTTCCGTTGTTTTAAAGTTTATAAAACGACAACAACAACAACAAAAAATATAACAGTAACCATAAAATGTTAACAATCGCTAATTAAGGGGTCTTTCAGTGTTTAAGCGGCTTCAGTATGCACAGGCAAAAGCATAATTCTCTTGATTACGCTGCTTACGCTTCTAACTTTCTTGGTAAAGCTTTGTTTTTCTCATTTTTCATTCTAGATGAATTATTAATTAATTAAAATCCTTCATGCGATCCTTCTTTTGCCTAAAATATCCAAAAACAAAAAATCTGAGTTTTAAATTGAAATAAGTTAAACCGCAGTAATCTCTTCAAACTCATTCATTACGCAACACTTCGCTTATCACAATTTTTGTTACTTCTTTTACTTTGTTATATGGAAGCTTACTTTTCATAGGTCTATGTAGCCCAAACTCATCGCAACTAATTTAATTATCAAATCACTAATAATTCTTAGCATGAAATACTAAAACTTAGATATGATTATCACATAAAGGCCTCGTCATATAAAGATCTTCTCATATAAAGACCACGTCATGTAGGGACCTTGTCATGCCATCTTTTGAGAGAGCAGATTTTGTAAGTAGAGCTCGAAAGACGGTTCCATCTCATCAAAATTTTTCTCAAGCGTTTAACATGCTATAATATTATTTTCATCCGATTTGTATCGCCGAATGTTAACAGTGAATAATTTTTTCCAAAATAACAACTTTCTCTGGGGAAAGGTCACAAAAATGATCCGATGCGATCCAATGTGATCCGTCCTTTAGTTAAAAAATATCAATGCGCGATATTTCGTGAAAAGCCGCCGACATAGGTGAGAACACAAAACTATATGGACAGACATCCAATAGAGCGATAAACAAAGGGACAGGCGTGCTTCAATCGGTTCAAAAACCAATGCTACTAGTGTAGCATTGAGGTACAAGAACAACGAAATTCTTAGCCGAAGCACAGTTTTCCTGTTCAGACATTCTTATTGCAACCATTACGGTCTTCGCTGCAGACTGCAGATGCCTACCTACCACCAGCAGATGATATTCTTTGCATTGTATAGTCCTGGAAATTAAATGACATAAACCATGAGTAAGCTTCAAAAATAGCAAGGCATCAGCAAAAATACTGCTGAGTTCGAAAAATCCAACATAGAACAATCTAAAGTGTTTTCTTAAAGCACAGTTTCGTTTCGTACATTTCGTTGGATGTTATGTCTTGAATTTCGTCCTTTTGTTGGAAATTTTAAACTGTGTTAGAGATGCAAACAAATTAAAGCAGTAAGTCGAGTAAGGTTTACTGAAAAAGTACGTTGCGCAGTTCTTCAATGCATTCCTATACCCATCTTTATCATAAAATCTCCAAAATTATACATCATTGTTGTATGAAGTCTTCCATTCACGCGAAACCGTATATGGGGAAAGATTCTAAAAATACATCAACGCAGTATACATTTAGCGTAATAGATTTGTAGATTAAATCACTCCACCAGACTAGTTTTTAAACAATTTACTTAGTGTGCATTAATACTACTTTTCACCGATTTTTGTCGGAAAATTTTTTCATGTAACAATATATATAGAACAGAACGGTATATAAGCAGCCACTAGATTGGATTTTATACAGCGTGAAGAATCGTTTAACTAACGTTTAATATTTCTTGACAAGGTGTCAGCTCCACATCAAGTTCGGGAAAACTACTTTGTGGTTTGGTAGAATGCATACAAACGTCAACATCGCGCTTTTTAATACTGAGGCAGAACCAAGGCCTTAGTTGGATTATCAAAAAATATCTATTATTCTCTCTGTGAAAAGTGTGCACTTTTTTTTTATTTCTTTTTCCTGTAAACAGTCACTCAGGGGCAGGCACTATGATGATCAGGAAGAGTGACAAGCAGGCAGGGGTACAGAAAGGCAGTAGTGGCTGTAAACATTCGACTTGAGATATGTTAGGAAACGCCATTGCTGGTAGGTTGTTCCAACGGCAAGCACTACCGTTCGAGAACGACAAGTTTTGGTAGTGTGACATGCGGTGTGCAGTTATCTTCAGGACGGTTGGATGAGAACGCTGAGAAAGTCGTTTGGTCCTGTTAAAGGACTTAGTTGATGGACCATCCATTTTCTCTCTCTCTCTCTCTCTCTCTCTCTCTCTCTCTCTCTCTCTCTCT